TCTCTGCCTGGTGCAGAGAAACCATGCAGTCCAAGAAAGGCTGGAGAGGGAGAAGTGGAAAAAGCCAATGCTTCTGGTCTGGATTTATGCAATCTGCCAGCCTCCCCTGGCAGCACAGGAAGGTATCATATTGGAGATCACCCCGCTGCTCTCTCCAAGAAGAACCCTTCGCTCCCCAGCACTGAGAAGCTCCCCAGCCTAGGTAGAGTGTCACTGAGAAGCTATGTTTTGTCCATTGCTCTCCCTTCTGGAACAAATATATCATGTTTTGGGGGCTGAAGAAGTGACTTCACCCCTCCATCTCTTTTTCTGGCTGGCAAACAGCATATACTGCTCTTCAAGCCTATCTCCACGCAACACCATCTAGGGCTTGGGTGGCTGTGACAGACACCCCAGTAACACCTTTTGGACATTTTTCTTCTGCTTACGCTTCTTCATTGTCCCTGGATGCATGCTGTCACCACATAGTGTGCTCTGCTGCATTAGCACCAAGTAACCTGCCAGACGAGAAAGAGCTTCAGCATTAATTGTTTGGCTGTGACTTTTCCCTGCTCTCAGGTCACTCAGAAGTTTGTTGGTGTGTGACTCTCGAGGGTCCTTCAAACCACTACAGCTTTCATGAGCATCTCTCAAGTACTGCCTACCATGCCTCTCCTATCTCACACTGAAAAAACAGGTGACTTAACTGTGGCAGCAAGGAAAGATATTGAGAAAAAAAATCACCAGGAAAAGAAATTATTATCTTCCTAAACAGAAAAGGTGTTATAACTTCAGGGAGGAAATACCAGATCAGGCCTGTGGATGATACTGCAACCTAGAGCCTAGGAGCCAGTTGTGGAATTTTAATTGTATGAACCTACACAATAATAAGTGTATTTTTCTTTTTACTTCACTTTTCTGTATTCAGCTGAAGCTGATGCTATTGTTGTATCCACAAGACCAAATATAACTCCAACCCATTACCTCCCTTGGGAAGAAAGAAACATCAAATGCCTGGCAGATGAATTTGGGGTAAAGCTGAAAGTGAGAAGTTGTTAATTTCAAAGTGGGCAGTAAGAGTGCTGGTCAAATCGGGAGCCTGATGCATCAATGAGCTGAATATAAAGATCTTCTTCCTTTTTTTTTCCTCTTCTGAATCAAAAGATTTCATAGGCATTTAAATAAAACTGAAGTAATGTAATTAGTACAAGCCCACGAGAAGTGATTAAATTAATAAGTGTGGCTAGTGCTATAGCTGCATAATGGAAGCCTTCAGTTTTTATTAATTACATGTTTGAAAATCTGGATTAAATAACCAAACTAATAAGTCAAAACACCAATGGCCACGGCATTGTCACTCTGTATAGCAGGGCACCAATTCAGTGCCTAATTGATACAAGAGCTCTAATAACAGAGAGCATGTTTAATTAATAAGGCTCCTAATCAGTCATGAAACTTTTAACAGTTCCTAGTGCTGTGAAATTGTTGTAGTTTACATCCTGCGTGCTACCAAGTGTCAAATCTCCGCAGGCCATGCGTAACGTTGGGTTGGTAGGTGTGCATGAGAAAAGACGTCACCATGCTGCCACATAACAAGGGATGAGGCTGCCTTGTGCGTCCTGGTGAGCTCAGTGTTCACGCCTTGGGGATAAAGGGCTGGAGACCACTTAGCCTTGTTCGTGGAGGAAGACCCACATGCCACGGGGATGACTTATGGGAGACAGAGCAATTGGGTTGGCCCTCAAAAAGGCCTGTCTGGAGGGCAACTTTGCTGGACACAGGCCTCACATCTTTATCAACATACTGAAAAAGCAAAATTCATGTTTGAAAACGTTTTGCTATCCTGTAAGTTAAAAAGATTGGAATTTTCCTTCGGTTTTGCTTTTCCGTGAAGAGGAGCAGGGCAAAATGTAGAGAGCCCAAGCAGTCAAGGTGAAGAGGCCAAAATGAGTGGTGGGGTAACCTATTGGTTCTTCTCTCACTAGCTCCTACTCCTGATCTTTATTGCTGAGTCTAACAGGCACTCATAGACTGATTGTCCTGAGAAGCAGCTCTCTCAGCATTTTATAGACTTTTCAGGCAGGAACTTTCTATATTAAAGAATAGCGTTCACTTTAATGCTCAAGTCATATGCCAAAATTTATCGTCCTTCCCATTTAAAGCAGTTCATCTAAATTTGATCCCAGACTTGTGCAATAAAAAGTATAATTAAAGCTGAATGTAAAAATTATTGAACAAATATAATAAAAGGGCAATTAAAATTATCAGTGAGAAGTTATAAAAGTGCAAGAAACTAATGCTAGCAAGTCTCCTAAACTATTACTACAGCAAATATACTTAATCATTCAGATGCCATACTTTTTTACCTCTTGCACGGAACTATAAGCAATATCGTTAAATCAAGGACACATTCTGTGTATTTTTTCTCTAATACCTAGAAAGATTAATTGGAAGGATAAGTTGCTATTAGTATAGGCTTCTGCTCTTTCTCTTAAAATTGGCATACTCATGGCAGCAATTCACTTGCTGAAGAGAACAGCTTATTTAACATTTCCTTCATGGATTTATTTTCCTCATGAATATATCTAATACTTTTTTTTTTTTTTTTTTGTAAAGCTCATGTAATTTTTCAGCATTCCCAATTTCCCATAAAAAGAGGCTCCAAAGCTTAATTCAGTGAGCTGACAGCTGTGCTTTTCTATGCAAACCTGCTACCTGCGAGTTTCACTTTTAACTGGTGTTAGAAGAGACAGTGGAAATCATTCTTTTTTCTCTCTCTCCATGCTGCCTATTCACCAAAAACCACTCTTGTTTGCAGAAGAGCTGTCTAGTCAGTCTGAGCACACTGCATGAGGTCATCCTCCATTGTAAGACTAATGGGAAGAAGGTTCTAGGGAAAACACCTGGTTATCTGCAATGTTAACTGCAGAGAGGTGCTACAGCCAGTGACCTAGTTATGTGGTGCCCAGGGGACTCTGAAGGAGGTAGAGAGCTGGACAACTGGTTCTTGGATGAGGGTTAGTTTCGAACTGCAAAGACACAGGATATGTGAAGAGAAACTAAATAGAGGAACTGTATCAGTAAGATGGAGCCAAGAGGAACTGTATCAGTAAGATGGAGCCAAACTGATCAGAAAATATTTTAACAACCATGATATGGCAAATGAAAGCATTTGTTTTAAATACTTCATGAACCTGAAAATACCAGATCCAGTACATTATGTAAATTGAGAAGAGCATTTAATCTGTGGTATGTTTTTCTTTGCACCAGGCTGCTAATCTGAAATGTATTGCCATTAGCAGGTGTGTTGTCGTGAAACTTCTGAGTCTCCTGGCTGTGATCAAAGGTGGAGTAGGCTGCAAATGGTGATTAATGAAGATAGTGACTCTTTTTTTTTCTTCTTTTTTTTTTTTTTCAGTGAGATAAAGCTGAGAATTTGTTTTTAATCCTTTAAAAAGACAAAATCAAGAAGCAGCTAAACCAGGCAACAAATAAGCAGACACTTCTTTGTGTTCATGCGAAACAACAAATAGGATAAAAGCTATTTCTGGGTTCAGCGGTGTTTGTTGTTTAACACCTACGTGTTCTCTAATGGCAGTGGCTGCTGCTCGGTTAATATACTTGACTGGTTTGGTTCTTTGGCTTGTGGCTTTGCTTTGCGGAAACATTCAAAAGCTCACTGATGAAAGGAGTACATCAGAGTGAAGCTGAAGATGGGATGGATATTTTGAAGCTAACTCAAAACCTCGTAGTCGTAGGAGGGTGGTTAAAGTCTCCAATTTTCCAGAATTACTCTCTGGTTTGACATGTGGGTACTTAGTAGTTAAAACCCCTTACAGTGCTTTTGTGCCGATCAGTGGATATGCGCAATACCGTAACCACTGCTCTGAGGACAGATCAGTGCCTCATGTCCAGAGCCATCATGAAGATGGTGGTTAGCTGCAGAGGTTTTGGGGAACTATAGATATTCCCTTCAGAGCTGCAGCAGGTCAGGGCTATCCCGGGAGTAGAGAGGGACGAGGGATATGTGGTGGTGGCTGGAGACTGCCAGGTTATGGGAGAACTGCAAAACTGTGCTTGCCCCAGGCTGTGAAATAGCTTCTGGTGTCTCCACTGCTGACGAACACCACTAATTCTGCTCTTTGGAGAGTTTCAGTCAGTGCTGGAGATCAGAGGCCTCACCTGATACAACCCTAGGTAAGCAGGAATTCCTTTCCTGTAGCAGCTGTGTCTTGGCAGAGTAATAATTTGCTTGAGAAGAGACCGCTGCTGAGGGAACAGCATCTCCTCTTTTTTCTCCTTTACTGTAATGTCCATGTGAAAGATGTGATGCAAATGCTGGTTTTGGAGAAAAACTCTGGCTAAAATCCTGACCCCACTGAAGTCAATGGCAGCATTCCTACATATTTCAGAGGGGCCAGAGACTTGTCCTCTATCCTTCTCTTCCCAGCTTCTTCATCCTGGAGAGAATGTTTGTTCAAACCAACAAATGTGATACATTCATGATCACAATGAGGGAAAATACAAAACGAATGAACAACAACAACAAAAAAAAAGCAACAAAAAACAAACATACCAAAAAAACCCAATGAAAGCAATGTTAAGAAAGATTGCAATGGTGTGAGAATGCCTGACAATGTGAAGGGTGGGGGCTTTTCTCAAGAATAGGGCCAGCTGGCTTCCAGACACAGTCTATTGGGCAAGCTGAGCTAAAAGCGTAGTGAAAAATGCAGAGAAATAGCAAAGAGAAATGTCCAAAGCTTGGGGGTATTAGAAAATGCAATAATAAACTCAACTTGTGTCTGTCAGAAACCAAACTGACACAATTTAGGAGGAAATATGCTGGCAGTGTTTTTTTCCCCTCTTCCCTTTTTTATCTTCTTTGATTTTTCCAGCTGGCTCATCTAGCTGAAATTTGAACTGCGTCTGACTTCAAGTTCCTTTCAGGATATTGTGGAATATTTTACATAGCAGTCTGTCTGTCTGACAAAGCAAGATTGTGAAATCTGTAAACCGCAATGTCCTTACTGCCACAATGAAAACATAAATGATAACACTGCCCCATTACCCCATTAATGGTTGCAGAACAACTCCCACTTGTGGTCTCCATGACTTGGGAGACAACTATATATGCTAGCTGAATATTTTAGCAGATATAATAGCAGACTAATGCTGGGAATTTTGGGGGTAAGGGAGCAAGGTATGAAAACAAACATGATCAATGGCTAAAAAATGCAGTGTGCTAACAAACATTAATAAGTGCTTACTAGGATGGACTTGAATCAAATCTTTAACTCCAGCAGACCATGAAGTATGGTGGAAGTTTGGAGTCCAACCCCAGATCTGCCATCTTGTCAGCCTCTCTCTCTTTGCAAAGGGTTGAACCAAACTCACGAAGCTCAAGGTCTGTCTGTTAAGAGGCCTGTTGGACATGGAGAACAAAAAAAATGTTGCCTGCATGGAAAAAACCTCCTTTGTTTTGAAGCATGTAAAGACAAAGACAGTTGAGGAAGTGTATTGCAGAGGTGTTTTATTGCCTTTTCAGATAATTTCTGTTGAGTTTATTTTATGAGCTTTGGCCACGTTTTTACATTACTAGTGAATAAAGCTCTCATTGTTCAACGGGAGTCATCTGGTGACTCATGAATTTCTTCAAATGCTGCTTAAAAAAACCTTCATGTGATATTGAGAATGCTTCTATATATAGCTACAGGCCTACAGAAAATGAACCACTGTTGAGCTTGATCAGTTACTGGACTGGGGAGGCTCAGACAATTCAGGATTGATGGCCACAAGGAAGAAGCGAGAGTAGGGCATCATCTCTGCTCCTCATGGTAAATAAATCTCCTTGATTTTGTGTCACAAATGCTGATTCTATGCTTCCAGCTCAGGACACATTCGGGTTCTATGAGTTGAATTTAAAGTGAGTTTAAGTTATTTTTTGTAATGAATGTTTGCTCTCTCCCTCTTTCAGGAAACACAAGTGTGGACATGCCTTACATAAAACTTGCTGTTAACAGGGAAGTCAAAGGATGTTTGGCTGGGCAAACAACTGCTCTACACGATTTGCCTAATTTTCTAGGTCATTCTGTATGAAGTGAGTCTTTCAAACCCAGCTTCTCTAACAACTTCACAGTTGTGTGCTCAGGAGGCTCCCGGGTATGCCGTCTGTCTGCAGGCCAAGCAGCATGATGCTTTCGAGGAAAAGTGCCCTTCCTGTCTGGGTGAGTGACTACAGTCCAAAGTGCAGCTGTTGTTATTTTCAAAAAGTTGATGTGAGGGCAGAAGTGCACCAAGCCACTTTATAAACCAGCTGTGGCTTAACTTCCACTTACACATTTTCATTGTACTGTTCAACTTATGTATTAGTAAAATGTTAAAAGGGTGATGTCTCACTCCTCCCTCAGAGGAGTATCTGGTAATCTCATAGATCAGTTTTTGCCTTATTAAACCAAAACCATGTCTAGTGCTCACTTTTTCTTCCTCTAGCTTGCTATTTCATTATCTAGTATGTTACAGGCAATTCAGAAATACAGTACATTGTTCCCTGGTAAGAACTGCTTCAGGTAAGTAGAACTTAGATCCAAGTCATTGTCTGCTAAAAGAGGTTGGTAAAGATATGTATATATATATTTTTCAACTTGTGAAGAATATCTTTAAATGCACTATTGACATGGGAAATGTACCCTACCAGGGTCAGTCTGGGGAGCAAAAAAAGGAAAAGTTTCTGTAAATCTGAACCCATGTTTAGAAATGAGAGTTTAAGACTGTGATTTTATACCCATGGTAATACGGGGGGGGGGACAAATTGCATTGTCTGCTGTGATAGACTCTCCCAAGGGAGATTGCCCCTTACTTTGTTCCCTACCACTACATACCTTGCCTTAGCCTTAAGTGGGGTCTGGATGGAGCAGGTCCCACATCCTCCTGCAGGGTGCTCTCACATTAAAACGTTTCCCACAACATCCTTTGTCTGGGAGATTTTGCTGCATTTCCTATTTGCATTCTACAGTTCTTGCTGCTGTGTGGTGCTTTCAGGCAGATGGTTATTGCGTGCCTGGAAGCACAAGGGAGGAACCAGAGAGACGAGCTTATACTACACCAGAGAAAAAAAATGCATCTTCAGCGGCAGCAGGGCCTCAAGGAAAGATCAACACTGAAGATCTTTTCCCTTTTCTGCATAACACTGAAATACTAGGGAGAAATATGGAGGGCAGGCAATATCAGTATAATCCCCTTCTTAACTCTGAAAGAGAGAATCGTGAGACATCTGTAAGTGGTCCCTCTGGGAGCTGGATAAGGTGATGTATGCATTGACCATAAAGGTCTAAATAGCTGATCAAAATGTGGTTACAGACACTCAGGATGACCAGATTTTCAGGGGTGCTAAGAACTAATAAACGCCTCTGAAGCCAATGGGATCTGTGTGACCGGGTTGCCTTTGCAAATTAAGCATTATAAAACTGAGCCATGTGTTAATACAGCTTTAAAAATACGTTAAAATGACCACCTTGCAACCCCAAATACTAAGTAATTTTACATGCAACGTATTAAGAAAAGATAGAAATTAACCTAATGCACCATAACTTATAATATTTAGTGAAAATATTGATATTTCTGTCCTAAACACTGTGCCTCTAATAAGGACACAAAACTATGAGCAGTTTAAATCCAAATCAATGCATTGACAAAACAGCAAATCTTCAAATTACCAAACAATTCAAAGTTAGTGTATTTCTCCATGTAACCTTTCTTATTACTTGCAGCAAACAAAGTCCCACTTACTCATGTGAATGCAACAGCTGACCAGTCAATAGCTGAATATTCTTGTAAGTCTGCCTATGCTGTATTACAAGATATCTGATTGATAATCCTACAAAGCTTCCTCAGTTTAAAAGGGCAATCCTCGATCAAATCTTCTCTGTTTAATGCCTGAATGTCAACTTCTCTCAGTGCCTGCATGCTGTCTGCAGCCATGTATCCTCTAAAATGAGGCCCTGGGAGCACCTCCATACCCTGTTCTTGTATCCCTTGGCTCCAACACAACCCTGCATCATCGTAAGTTCCTAAAATGGGCGTGGGCATACCTCTTTTACTGCCATCTTACACCTCTAGTGCTGCAGAAAAGCATTTCTTCTCTCTTTAGAGAATCTGTGAACAGGAGCCCTACTATCAACTTTAGCAAACAAAGGCTATGTGCTCTCTCCTTAGCCTTTCCAGAAAGTGGTAAGGGGTGCTAAGAAGGAAGTCCTCTTTGCTTGTACCATTACATTTGTACCATTTACCATTTGGCAAATGGTCAAATGGTAAACTGTCACATGAAGGAACTAAGTTTGTGCATCCACTTCTTGCATAATTGCTACTGAATGTATCAGTCAGTGCTCCCGTGACTGATTTTGAATATTCAGTATGAGTTGAGTTGACACAACTAGCAGTGAAACAGATGCTTTGTTTTTCCTTCCCCTTCTGCATGAAGAGTTCCAAGACACGAATTCCTTACTGTGAAACATGGGCCTGACCACAGGACTGGGTCAGTAAGGTCAGTGAATAACTCCTCTGGACACAGTCCTTGCAAGATCCATTTTTCACAGGACTTGGGTAGGAAAGGATCTGAAATCTTATCCTTCTGACTGTGGGTTTTGAAGGAAAGGTAAGCTGTTCGTGGTTCTCAGAACTACCTTTTTAAGATATGAAAACTGAGTTTTCCCTTACAATTTAACATTTCCTCTGCTCTCAATCACAGGAAACATCAGGTGGCAGTGACTTTTCATGAGTGATCGTCTGAGCTACATTTTTCATTAATGTAACTCCTGGCCCCCAAACCCAATTCCTGGAGAGGAAACAACAGACATCAATTAATTCTGTAGAGAGTACAGAGGATTACATAATGGTAACATGGGAAAACCAAACCAAACCTTTATCCAGCTATAATCCTGCCACAGTTCAGCTAAAGATTTCATCATTCTGACTAATAGGATTAACGCGCACACCAAGGGGCTCCAATTGTCTAGTGTCACTGCCTTATTCATTTAGGTGCTGGCCAGTTTCAGAGCCAGGGAGATCCCTGAAAGGATGCCAGTATCAAGCAACACATACTTTCCATTTTTGAGGAATGAATCTGAAGAAATCTTACTAGGACATTTGTTGTTAAGGGGGTAAAGTTATTCAGTATGGAAGTCAAGGTCCTGGGAATAATTTCCTGTAGGTCCTGTAGATAATTTCCATGCTTGGCAGCATTTCCCTCTTTAGTTCCAGTTTGTGATTTTTTTATTCTCCTTAGTTAAATCTTCTGCTTGACTTGCAACCCCAAATGCCAGTCCGCTCTTTTTTTTACTAGCTAAGTAAATACTAGCACTTTGCTTCATGAAGTGATAATGTTGGTGTGCAGCAATGTCCAACTGAAAGCCATGAGCCACAGAGGCCTCTGTGCCAGAGCCCACCCAACCAACCCCAGCATAGGAGCAGGGCAGGCCCAGAGATCATATGCAGACTCCAACAAGTGTCTGGATCACCAGACAAGCTCGTGTTGATGAGACACGAGGTCCAAGGTCAAGCTAGCAAGTCAATCAATAGGTCAGATCCAGCGAATGCCAGTCAGCTCCAGAAAGACAAGGGAGGCCCAAGGTCAACCTGTAAAGTCAGTCCCTTGGTCAGGGCCTGCCAGGCAGGGACACAATTGTGGCTGAGCTGGAGCACACTCGTTTCACAAAGCTTATACATAAACTCCAACTCAGTGAATGCTCAGCACTGAGCTTAAATATCCTATGGAAGAGGGTATGGGTAGAGGCCCAGATTAGTTTTCTCAAGGCTGTTAAGATCTGATGTCTCACTTGTTCTGTTCTACTCCCTCCAACACCACAGCAATTCATTGGTAACTCATAGATAACACCTGTGGAAAGAAATCATCCCAGTGAATGTTCCTGATTAATTTTTAATTTATAAAAATTTACATAAAAATTCACTTTGTCAACAGAATGATCTTTCTCTTTTTCTTGTTATGATTGAGACCAATGAAGTGCAATGACCGCATATAGGAGGGTCTCTATTAGGGATTCATTTGTTTTCTTTGTCAAAAGATGTTTCTTTAGTGAATATATATTGGAGATTTATGAATTGTAGTCTTTAAAATCCTGGAAACAAATATTCAGTACTATCTATCTGAAAAGTGACTGTTGTATTTCCTCTACGTTTGTGTATCCACCTTATACCATGACACTGATTGAGGGTCATGAGTCAAACTCACTGTGCTATCCACGATGACAACATGGGCTGAAGTGATACCACTTGCCACAGGGACCTTAGGATGGGGCCAGTGCTTATGTATTTAGTATTACGGAGCAGGGAGAAGGATACCAGTGCTCTGATTTCTCTGAGACACTCAGCACTGTATGGTACTACAAAGCAAAAAAAAAACAGCAAGAGACAGAAAATTGCTCTAATTTAACTTGGACTTGTACAGTCTCTTCAAAGAGGAGATTTAGTCTATTAGATTCATCTGTAGTTTTGCTCCAGCCACTCAGCTGTAAGGGGGTTAAGCTGGAGGCAAACAGTGATTCAATTTTATGACCAGACTGAAAATACAAATAAATCTATCGCTCCTGTGTGCTAACTGTAATGCATGCTCAAGTGCAGAATGCTTTAATTGGATATAATAGCTCCGGGTCTGGACTTATATACATGCACATCAAATCACTCCTTTTAAACCATAAAGTGCTATTCAAATAATTATTTTATTACTTTCTTCATCTTCCTGTATGGAAGTGTGGAGCATATGACAAGCCCATCAAATGCCTATAGCCATCACCCTGATAATGTTATTAAATAAGAAAAAGAAAAGGCATTATATTTTTGATGTACTGGCTGATAACACTCAGGAGGCTGAACTGAAGACTGCTGTTGTATTTGTCATCCTGGTGACTGCCTAATGGGAAACCCAGAAGACCAGCAAAGTGTGGGAAAAGTGACACATTGTTGAGGACTGAAGCCTGAGCACCGGGGCTAAGAAATTACAAGCAGTGACTAACACTAAATATTTGACAACAGTGCAGAAAAACAGCTTCTTTCTTCCAGGGAACAGGCTGATGACTATGAACAAAGTTCCAAGTTTCTTTGAGTGATTAGAAACTGGCAGTGTTGTGGGTACCACATCCTAAAAGTCCTGGAAAAGGATATGGGCAATGCAGCAGCCAGCTAGTTCATGGAGAGCAGATGCAGGAGAAAAAAAAAAAAAAAAAAAAAAGCCTCTGCTTGCCCTTTCAGATGGATGAAAACATGAAAGAGCCCCTGTGAAGAATGGGTTGCAGTTTCCAAGCAGATAAGTGTAGAGGAAACAGTAAGGAAACTCTGATCCCTGAATGGAAAAAATCCCAAATTTCCTGAATATCCCATTCAAAGGAAAGGTTGCTTCTCCTCCCTTTGAGAAGTGCTCAGGGTAATGTAGAGCAGTGGAGAGTGAGGCTGTTTGCTCTCATAGACCAGGAGCTTGTGCCTCGATCTTCTGGTTTAAAAATGCTCTGCGTGAGTGAGAAAGTCTTCTCCTGTTCAAAAGGTGGAGAGAAAGAAAGGGAAAAGCAGCTGCAAACAGGAGTTGGAAAAGGGCAATCACGTGTGAATGAACATCACTGAAAGGGCATGGCAAATGCTTGAGCTGGGTTGCACCTTTATTAAGTAATTTTGTTGTCAAGATGCTAGGATGAGGAGAGTCTTGATTAGTTTTGTTGCTTCCTGATATCAGTAAGCAGTGCTTTACAACAAACAAAGTGCAGGGAAATACCCCTTTTGCTATGGAAACTGTGTGGAGATTTACATCAGTAAATAAGGAGCCCTGCCTCTGCAAGTTATTTGATTTCCAAACAGAAGTAAGAGGGTGTTTTTTTTTTTTTTTTTTTTTTTTTTTTTTTTTAATAGGAATGTTCCTGATACACAACACAGTTCTTCAGATACTGTCTTTACTTCCCTAGGATTTCAGGGTAGCCTGCTGGGTGCTCAGTGGCAACACACAGGTAGCTGGGACTGTGATGAGGCAGCTGGCTTTGCTTTTGAAATATGCATAGCCTTTGTGCATTTGACTTAATTTTGGTTGTGAACAATCAAAATTCAGGAGAGTTATGAGGAGGATCCTATTTTCCTTTTCTCAAGAGAACCCACAGTAGTAAGACAGTGAAACACGTGTGTCTGTGTGAGAGAGAAGCTATTCCTCTCCTGGTACCATCTAATTCTGCCCCAAGTTTGCAGAGATCTGTTGTGTGCCTCCTCAATGACTGTTTTTGGGATGCATAAGCCGGAGACAAGGAAACAGAAGGGTTCAGATAAATGACTTTACTGAGCAAGCACTCAGGCGCGGAGGTGGAGAGCTTACACAGCTTGTGTGGAGTGGCAGGAGATTTGGATGGCTGGACTGTGAAGCAGAACTGACCAGGAGCACCAGCTCCATCACAGATCCCATCAGGTACACCCACACTCGCAGGTACACACTGTAACTTGGCTTTGGGAAGTGATTGGTGAAAGAGATTGATTCATTCTTAATTTGCCTTTCCTCTGTTTAATAGCCCATATAACATGTAGTTTAAAGATATACACAAGCTAATTAGGAAAGATATATTCTGGATGGGAGTCGCAGCTGCATGATGTGAAATTCCTGCAATCACTGAAAAAAAACATAAGGGGCTTGTTTACATACTTTAGGCATCCAACTTTAGCTACGCTGCTGTGAATGGCTGAACTTGTGACACTCCATTCTTCCTTCACAGTAAATATTTCTGCAAGAACTTGTAATGCTGCTTGTAATACCTGTCATTAGGATGCTCTTGAAGTCTGGTTTGTGTGCTCAAAATCTTGACCATTGTTTCCAACAGGAGCTGTTGTTTGAATAAAACATCATTACAGATCCCCTGCAAAATTTGTTTCTTACCCTTAATATTTTCTCCCAGTGATATTGCTGGTATGATTCCTGGAGCTACTTCATGTTCCATAGGTTTTCTCACCCTTACATGAGAAATAATTTATTTTCCACTGCATCAAATTTTTCATTGTTTTGGTGCAGGCTCCCCTATTCCCTTACAATACTTAAATGATTTCAAGTTTCTTTTAAGATCTTTTGCTGCTTACCTCTATGGCATTCATTATCAGCAATTTATCATCTTACTGCATTTTTTCATATTTAATATTTCATATTTAAATGCACAATCAATGCATATAACAGTAACAAATCTAAAAAATGTTCATGTAGCATATATTCCTTATAATGTACTATGTAGTGTTTGTGTATGCAAAACTATACGTAGTATACGTGTGATATGCATATACTGCACAATATATACTATACTGTATATACAGTATAGTATATACTATATATATAGTATACTATAGTATATATAATATATAGTATTCATATACTATATACTATATACTATATATGGTATATAGTATATATACAGTATAGTATATATAGTATATAGTATATATACTATATATAGTATATAGTATATATACAGTATAGTATATACTGTGCAGTTGACTGTATTTGGTGCAGTATACAGGATTTTCTCTCCAGGTGGAATCAAACCAGTGATGAAGGTTTAATGGATTACCTTAAAACAACATTTTTAACTTAGTTTTTCCTTTTTCATGGCTGCATTTTTGAAATTGAGATACTAAAAAGCTATGAAGAAGTCTTCATGAAAGATGATCTTTTCATGATACTGGATCCTAAGTGGTATGTACTTTTTCATGACTGGATGGCTTATACATCTATTAGCACCCTTAGATTCAGAGGCTGCCCACTTAGTGCTAGCAGGAGATTATTTTCCCTTGCCTGATGTCAGTGTGTAATGTAGAACACTCCAGAAAATTCTAGAAAACCTGTGAAGAAAATGTGTAATAGGTTTAAGACTCATGAACCTTAAATGGTTTGGAAAACCTTTAGATAAACTTTGAGGAAGACAGGCTTACTCATTACAAATATTGACTAGCTAAAGGACAAGACTCGGCAAATAAGATGATAAAGTCAATTGAACTCTTCTTATTGTGTGCAGATTAAGTGCTGCTTTCCCACTTTAAAGAAGGTTCCTGCTGTCTTCTGCAATACTGAGAGAGGAGTTCAGTTTACAGCAGAGACAGTAATTTTCAGGCTATCACAGAAAAGCAAACTTTTGTGGGACAGAAATTAGGACCGAAGGATAGATGAAATATCCACAGACAGACCAGAAGATGGCTTGGCAGTCTGAAGGACCACATCAGATATCTTTTCTTGACTTGTCATACTTATCATCAAGTACTTCCAACTGTGAGGACGGAGACTCCACCAAGGCTGGTACAAAACTGAGTTCTGAAACAGAACAGTAGATCTGAGTCTTTACAGTTATTTAAGAAACAGAAAGTGGATCTTAATATACATATTTCAGGATTAATCACCTGAAGTTGGTGTAAAGCAAATGGGAATAAAAAGAAGCCTTCCGTCCTTCTGGTAAGGAGGTAGTCAGGTGGTTAATAACATTGCAGGACACCAAAGGAGACATCAGGCTGTTCCAGTTCAGTGGCTGCCCTGTTAGGACAAATACATGTGTGTTATACATGCATTTGTGTATGTGCCTAATTGGAAAAGATGTTCAGCCTTGCTACAGATTGGACCTGGGGGCATGGAGCTGTGACAGCCTCACCTGCATTGGCCTACTCTTTTTGCTAACTCCCTAGCAGACACAGGTTTGGATAAAGAAGTTATTTATAATTGCAATAGAATGGAGGGATGAATGAGGACGACAATCTACATACTGTGTTCCTCACAAATCATGGAGGAGAAAGAGAAAAATCTAACATTTGCCTTTCTACAGTCCTAAGGGAGCCATAAGCATGGTATCTCTGGGGCACTCAGACTACTCTCTCTGTCCCATTTCCATTCCCTAACAGTGGACCAGCCTTCCAGTGGACCCAAAGCTGTGACTAGAACAGAGTGCCTTGAAATGTCACTTGGCATTTTTGAAGGCCTGGGACCAGCTGCAGGGAACAACAAAAAAAGAGAGAGCTAGGTGAAATGTAAGCTTCCTGAATATGGGCCAGAGACCATGATAAAGACTTAAATGTTATTTTTCTTGCTAGGGCAGTCATCACAAAGACAGCTTATCCTCCTAAATGTTGAGGAATCATGCATTTTTCTTATGTATTTTCTGA